TTGATGGATTCCCGAGTTGTTAAATTAATGGAGCTATTTTGGATTAGTGGATTTTAACTTTAATATTTTGAGTATTTTTAATTTAGAATTTTTAAGCCTTTATCATTTTATTCTTATTTCATTTTTTATTCTGTGTTCATTTAAATATTAATTGTTTGATATTCTCTCGGGTTTGGGCTTGGACCTGATCAACCCATGTCTCGGATTCGAGGGGTATCACATTCACCCACATCACACCCATCCACAGAGGTCGTCATAATCACCACCCCCCCCCCCCCCCCGATGGGGCTCAACATCTTTGTTGGCCACACTTTCGACTTGGTTTTGGCTCTGTTACCATTTGTAACAACTTTCACCCTATCCAAACATAATATTGTCCATTTTTAACTACCCTGGACCAGAGACTTCCCAGGGGATCACCCATCCTAGTACTACTCTAGGTTAAGCATACTTAATTTTGGAGTTCTGATGGGTTCATGGCCATCACGACTTTAAAACGCGTTGTGTCTTAAAAAGGTGCAGAACCTACATATAACAATTCACCTTACCCAGGCGATGTGGGATCATAACTGTTGACCCAAGGGTTATAACCAAGGGTAAATGAGATATTTTGATGACAACAAACCATTGAATGTATTGGATTTAATGTCTACTTGAGTTGTGCTAAATAGGTTATATACGCAAGACACTCAAGAGACTTTACCTTTATGGGACTACTTTAATACCCCCAAACGGCTATAATCTGCTAAGGGGCTATAAATACACAATGTTTGGACACTGTAGGTAGCCAAGAGAGCTATAGAGAGACCTCCATTTGGGCAAACAACATGTTTATCATTTTTTGGTAGAATTCTCCTATAGGAATCATGAATGAAATTCATATTGCATATCATTCATCATGATTCATCTTGCAATCTTATAGATGAGTTTTCGTTTGATTATTTCATTTGTAACTCTAAGTATAAGAGCTTTAATTTGTATTTGTCTATTTAAAAGGCATCCATTGTAATCCTAAACTTTCATATCCATTCTTGAGAGAATAAGACCAAGAGGTGCTTTTGGCAACGGAAAGCTTGTTTAAGCTATTGTAAGGGTCCTCTTTCTCAACACGTAAAAGAAAAGAAGGTGTCTCTCTAATAAGAGGACTTGGCAGAGCTATCCACCCGTAAGAGTGAGTAATGGTTTCTTCTTAGCCGTCCAAAAAAGGAGAAGCGAGATGGCTTCATTATAAGGTTGGTTCTTCACCCGCAAGCAAGAACATGTAAATGTTTGCTCTCCACCAGTAAGGAGGTGCCATAGTGGAATCTTTGAGCAGTTTTCTCAAAGCATGGACGTAGGCCGAGGTTATGTCGAACCATGTATATCGCGTGTCCTTTGATTTGCAATCTCTCTAACTCTTACTCTCTTTATTTCCCTAACATTTTTCATTTCATAATCTTAACGCTATATTTTTTAATACGATGAAATAGACATCTTAATTTAAGTTTATAAGGAGAATGGGATGAATGCTTAGATTAAGTTGATTGAGTGGTTGATTTTAGCATAGACTATATGTTACATACTTGCAATGACTTTGCTAAAATCAACTTGCACACTAAGTGTTTGACAAAATGTATATTCAACATAACCTTCACATTTAGAGTTTATATGCACATCAAATGTTTGATATATTTCTTATAAACTCTATGATAAGGTGTTTCATGGTATTTGCACCTTGGATATTATTTACATTAATATTGTGCAAATGATAGTTCATAAAAGGTCTGTTGAATTGATCGAATGCAGTAATGTTTAAAGGTATTTCATTTCTTAATTGAATCAATGTTGTTCACCCTTAATTGCACAACTTATTTGCATGATTCAATGAAATGGTAATATGCTAAAGTAACCTACTCATCAAGTGTAGTAAGCTCATTATTTTACATTCCTAATATTGATAAAGCTTTACACTACAATCTATTAAAGAAGAGCATTTATCACAATGAATCGTATTTTGCTCAAGGGAAAAGAAAGTGTAATGTCCCAGATTTTTCTGAATTTTTTTTGAATTTTTATTTTATGTGCCTCGTTTTGCATGCCACATGGCCCCGAGGGCCGTTTAAGTCATTTTCTTGAGCCGAGAGTTTTAGTAATGTATTTTTTAATTATTTTAAGTCAATTAGAAGTGATAAGACAATTTTTAAAATTTTTCAGAAATTGAGAGGATTTTCGGACTCGAGAACTTCTCACGATTTTGCCATTTATCTTGAAGGGCAGTATTGACATTTCACTAATATATAAATATACATGTATCTAGGTATTGTGAAGATATTTATAGGACAAGTATGGCATTGTGATAAAAAGGTGAAAGCAAGATGGTAACTTGGCCTAAAATTAGTAATCACTTGGGGCTTGACACTTAGCATCATTCGGAAAATATGACCAAATGAAAGCCAAGCCCCCCTTCCCCCAATCTCGGCCAAACCCTCCTCTCTGTCTCTCTCTCTCTAACTTTCTCCTTCTTTCTCTATATCTATACATACATACATAAACCTCCATGCTTCTAGCTTAGATTTGGAAGAGCTGGAGTGTGAAATTGATAATGCCATAAAAGGGAAAGTGAAATAATAATCATCTTGATTATGAAAGTTATTTTTATCATGGTCATATGATCTAGTTGGATGTGACAAGTGCTTTTTCATCAAAAAAAAAAAAAAAAAAAAGGCTCATTAAATTATCCAGTCAATTAATAAATATAATATCACTTAAAAATATTTTGTAAATTGTTGCTTTAAATATTGCTACTGTAGGAGCACACTCGATATTTACTACTTCAAGAATATATCAGTACCGGTAAATACGAATAAGAACGGAAGAAAATCATTGTTGCTGTGTGGTCCTTCATGGATGCGTGATTTTCTCTTTAATTATATTTTAAAAAATGGATCTCTTCAACGATCCATTACAAATAGTAGTTGCGCGTAATGGTAACAAATTCAAGCCTTAAAAGGTTTGACATTTTTATAATAAATATAGATGACAAAAATACAACTTGAATCATCAAATAAACATATATTCATTGAGGAACTTAAAATGTATAATAATTAAAGAATAATCAATATAGAATAAATGACATATCACAGTCATAATTAAAGTGATCAACAACTTAATTAGAAAAGAATGACTTAAAATTTTCTATCCATAATAAATATAAAAATAGTCATCTATTTAAAAAGTAGATATAACAAGCTTTCCAACAAAATTTGATTTGATCAATTTGGACATCATTTCATTATCCAAACAAGCCATTAAAATTTGTCCAAGAAAATGGCAGATGAATTAGAAATTTAATTTAGGATTGAACCCAACCCTTTTTCGAGCAAAAGGAGGCCCAAATGGACCTTTTCCAGCCTTAAAAGGCTTGCTGCCAGCAAAACGGGTCAACCCAATTTTATCTGGGTCAACCCAGGTTAATGTGAGCTCAACAAAATTCCGATGGACTCACCCACACCTGATTAAAGTGGGCTCATGTGAATACATTACGCTAGATCTCAGCTACTGAGCTCACCCAATCACTCTACACTAGATCGTAGCAACTGAGCTCAACCAAACGCTGCCACACTAGATCTCAGCCCATGGATGGGATCAATTCTCACGCAGAGAGCTTCAAGCTCTCAGCTATGGAGGTCCGGCGACCTCCAGCAGCCGGAAACGGCAGCAATGTCGCCGGACTTTCTTCCTGCAGGGTTTCAGCCGTCTAGCGAGGTCTGGCAACCGGCGGTGATCCCTATTTCTCACCTTTTTGCTGCAAAAAATTTTTAAAATAATATTTTTTGTTTTTTCATCCCCAATTATTTTGCAAAAAATTTAAAAAATGATATTTTTTGTTTTTTTCATCCCCAATTATTTTTTCTTGGACCTCCGGTAAGCTATAAAGTAAAAGCTAAAACAGTGAAGGAAACGTGCCAGCTATATAAATATAATATATATGTATATATTTCATGAAAGAACTCATGATTTATCTTTTTAACAATTTTGCGAAACTTTAAATTCGCAAGTAGTACTCAGTTTAAAGAACTTCAGGTTAAGAAGTTTTACTAAACTTTGGTTCTCTTGGACTTCAACTCTACAAAATTTGTATGAAACTTTGAATTTGCATAGACCTCAGGCTAATAATTTTTTATGAAATTTTAGATTCACGAATATCAAGTCATCATGAAGCTTTGTGCTCACGTTGTGAAACTTCGGGTTTGCTTGCAAAACTTCGAGTTCCCCAAGGAGTGTGAAATTTTCGTAAGCTTCAGGTACACATTGCAAAACTTAGTGCTCGCAAAAAAGTATTAATTATACCAAACGACCAAATGGTCCAACGATATTGTCTTTTCCTTCTCTTCGGGGTTCAAACCTTAGTGGCGTAATTATAAATAATTTAATATTTGTAATATTTAAGGCTAAGTAATTTTAATTCTCTATAAAGTATAAATAAAAATATTCTAATATAATTTTAATATAAATAATTATTTTTTTTACTATTTGAAGTGAGAAAAAAAAAAAAAAAAAAAAAAAATTTCTGAGCAGAGTCTCATGCTGAAGAGCACAAGAGATATGAGATATGAAATTGCTCTTCAATTTTTGCTCTAGATATATTTCTTTATATTTATAATATGTTATCAGCACGAGACTCTGCTGAGAAGATTTGAGTATGAAAATTGTTCAAGTAGAGGTTTGTGAAGTTGTGAAGTACTTTTTTGCTACAAACTCACTGCCAGTAGGGGTAAGAAGTTCTTTTCTAGCTTTGATTCCCAAGGTTGATAATGCTTTGAAGCTTGGGGATTACAGGCCTATTGCTTTGTGCAATATTGTTTACAAGATCAGTACAAAAATTTTGGCTTCTAGACTTACTTTGGTTCTTCTGAATTAGTTGGTATGGAGCAAAGTGCTTTCATCAAAGGGAGGAAAATCCAAGATGCAATAATTGTGGCTCATGAAATGGTAAGTGATTTTCTTCCAAACATCCTATGATGGCAATTAACGTTGATATAATGAAGGCTTATGATTCTGTGTCTTGGGGTTTTCTTTTGAAAATACTCCAAGGTTATGGTTTTAGTAACTACTGTTTTGGCTTCTACAAGGTTCTCAGTGTTACTTAATGGGTCTCCAGCTGGATTTATTCAGACAACTAGGGGTTTGAGTCAGGGATGTCCTCTATCTCCATTGCTATTTACTTTGGTTGCAGATTAGTTATCTCAAAGGTTGAATGCTACAGTTCAAAATGGTAATTTGGAATTGTCTCACACTGCTGTGAAGGCAAATGTGGATATTAGTCATACATTCTTCGCAGATGACTTGTTAGTTACTTGCAAGGCTTCCATTGTTAATGCCAGAGTTTTATCTTCCATCTTTGCAAATTTTGGAGATATTTCTGGCCTAAAGATTAGTCCACATAAGAGTAGTATAATTTTTTCAAAGGGGGTGAGAAGGAAAAGGGCTGTTTTGCAGCTGTGGCAGTGTAAAGAAGAATGTTTACCTTTGAAGTACCTGGGAATTCCCTTGTGTTCTACTAGTATAAAGAAGGCTCACTATGTAGCTCTTATTGACAAGGTAAAGCAAAAGGTTACCTCTTGGAGTGCTAATTTGCTCTCAATAACAGGGAAAGTGGAGTTAATTCGAACTGTTATTACTCCTCTTTGTTTATACTGGTGTAGTGTTTTTCAAATTCCTGTTACTGTACTTAATCAAATTCAAAAAGTATGTAGAGATTTCATTGGGGAAGTACGGAGAATGGGAAAAAGATGCATCTTTTGAGCTAGGGTGTGATAACTAGACCAAAGAGTGAAAGGGGTTTGGCAGTTAGAAGATTGAAGGGCCTGCAGATAGCTGCTCATTGTGCAATTATCTGGGATTACTTGATAAGTAAGGACAGGTTATGGATTTCTTGGTTCAAAGGAAGGTATGGAAGGTGTTCTTCCTATTGGAATGTGGTGCCAAGAGCAACTTATTCTATTATATGGAGAAATATGGTTAATCTCAGAGATATAATGCTCCAAAATACTAGTTTCTTTGTTGGTATAGGTCAGTAAATTAGAATTTTGGTGGATCCTTGGTGCAATGGTCAAACTTTGTTGCAGAAATTTGGACATAGGATGATAAGAAGACTGGGTTTGGCTTGGGATTCTAAAATTGATAGTTTAATGGTTAATGGAAATTGGAATTTGGATTTGTTGCAAGAGGAATTGTTTGATTCTCTTAAGCAGTTTCTGATTTCAACCCCTATACATAATAGGGAAGATAGATTTTTATAGGATGAAGGAGAATTTTCTTTCAAGAGAGCTTGGGATAGATACAGAATGCAATACACTGAGGTTGAATGGCACAACATGTGTTGGGGGAAGGCAAGGCCTCGGTGGTCTGTGAATGGAGTTTTTCTTTTTCATGACAAGCTGCCTACTTTGGTTAACTTGCAGAAAAGAAAGTTGCAACTAGTTCCAAGATGTTCTAATTGTCAACAAGCTGTGGATACTAGGGATTACTTGTTTCTTGAGTGTTAGTTTGCAAGAGAAGTATGGAACTGGATTGGAGATGTAATGGGCTGGGACAAATATCAGTTTTCTGGTTTAAGGGATTTCTGAGACTTGGTTCGGTGGTTTGAGAAACAGTCAAAAAATTTTGGTAACACATTGTTTATGGCTACTTTGTGGAGCATTTGGCATGAACGGAATGGAAGATATCATGGTTCTTTGGATAGACTACCTAAGGAGGTGGCTAGGCAAGCTGTGTTTGAAGTGGTGGATGTTCTTGGCATCAACATTCAAGACCTGCTCTAGTAGACGTTTAGATTTTGCTTTTATGTATTGGACATGGGATTTTTTCTTAAGAGCATTGTTTTATTTATTTATTTATTATTTATTTTTATTTTTTTCATTTGAGGGTATGCCCTCTGTGCACCTGTAAATATATATTTTTCTTTTATTTTACAACCAATTATGAAAAAATATATATATGAAAGTGGGAAGGTTTCTATTAATTCTTGTTTTCGATGTGTTTTTCTCATCACAATACATGCCTATTTATAAACAGTGTTTTCGTTTACTGTTTCTTTCCCCTTGTTTTCTTATTCACATCGTACGCCTATACACACACAATTCATACATTTCTCTTCTTCTGATATGCATAAGTCCATATAATTGGAGCAAAACATTTAATGATGGACTCCACATAATTGACTTTCAAAACAAGGTTGACCCATTCAACCCACCTGTCCTGAAATTATTCGGGTTCTGGTTGCTATGCAGAGCCCAAATCTAAGTTGACTTAAGACCGTACTAACCGACCCAACCCAAGTTTGGGTTGGGACGGGGCTCGCCCAATTTACACTCCTAAATAATAATGAGTTATTAAAATCCAAGAGGAGTACAATCATGCCATGCTAGTACATGCACCTAGCTTACTGTTCCTTCCTAAAGGGCCATTTCATGGCATAATAGTAGGACTTCTATATTCTGTTAGTTTTGCATCGTGAATCTGTCTCAAAAGTTAGTGATATTTGGTTTTATCACGACATTGAGGTTTTATGTTTGAATTGAAATGTAATTATTGTTTTTCTTACGTTTTGAAGTTTATGTATGGGGCTATAAACGAATCGAGCCGTTGACGAACTACTCGAGTTCGGTTCGTGTTCGTTTATTTATTAAACGAACCGAACTCAAATAGAATTATTGAACTCGATTACTAAATGAGCTGAGCTCAAACATCACTCTGATCAGCTCGTTTATTCGTAAACATGTTTATGAACAAGCTCGAGTCAAGCTGGTTTTGAGCTGAACACATACATATATATATATATATATAAATAATATAAACATGTTTATGAATAAGTGTTTCAGCTATTTAAATTTATTTTAAACCCAAGCCCAACATAAGTGTTTCAGCTATTTAAATTTATTTTAAACCCAAGCCCAACAATCCAAATCAGCCCATTTGTTATATTATTTTCTCTTTTAAAATAAAACTAGCCCAACAACCCAGCCCAGCCCAGGCCAATTTGATATCGTTTTTTATATTAAAAATAAAACTAGCCCAACCCATTAATTATTTCTCAAGCCCATTTCCTGTACCCCTTCTAAACCCTAAGCAGTATTCTTCTTCTCTCCATTCTCAACTAACATTGTTACACTTCATTTCTTGTCTGTTGATAGAAAATTGGTCTAAAGAATGATAGCAGCTGTTTCTTGGGTGCCCAAAGGGGTGTCAAAGTCTGTTCCAGCTGTAGCTGAGCCTCCTTCAAAAGAGGAGATTGAAGAGATATTGAAGAGCAGTGATTTTGAAGAACGGTAAAACTTTTATATCTTTTTCTTTTGGTTAATTGTTTGATTATTTTCCTTGAGTCTGGCATATAGCACCATGGGTTGTGAAGAGATTCTGTGAATTAAATCTAATGATTTGTTGTTGCTTTCACATGTAGCAAATATAGTCTTGTTGGCTTTCACATGGTATATATATATATTTTTTGTTTGAGCTTGTTTCTCTTAGCATTCTAACACATTTGTGAAGTGGGAAACAAAGCAATTAAAGAGAAATTGCCATACAGAATAGCTCAACAAGGAGTCAAAAAGATTTCGGATTGGCAACTATATATATATATATATATACATATGAACTTAAAACCGTTACAACTGGATGTTTTACACAATGGTTCTTACTGCTATTAGAATATGTTTATTTTTGGATTCATATGAAGGGCGGCGAAGAATAAAAGGCTAATTGACATCAAAATTGATTGAGTTTCTTCTCATTTTTGAACTTTTTTTTTTTGGCAGTAGAGATAATGAAAGTGAGGATGATGACGAGTTTATGAATGTTGATGCTGCCAAGCAGGCTGATGAAGTTGCCCATGCTTTAGCTGCAGCAGATGCACTTGGAAAAGCTTCCAAGAATACAACTTCAGAGACGAACTTCGAGAATATAACTGATGGTTTGAGAGAACTAGACATGGAACATTATGATGAAGAGGATGATGGTATTGCTATCTCCCTGTGCTCACATTTTCTTTCCCTAATTTTCTCACCTTATTTCCCTATTTGATAGTTAAATTGAAGAATCATGTTATTCTGATTATGTTTACCTAAAGACTTGGCTTAACCTTAAAGAATCCTATAATTATTTTAATTTTAGTCTCTCATGTGTATATATATATTTGAAGATTTATATTCAGACCACATTATTGTATAATAATTTTTTTTCATGTGGAAAATGCCACATTGGATTTTTAATCAAGTATGCATCTCTTCCTGGTTGACCTCAGGCATTGAGCTGTTCAACACGGGGCTTGGGGACAGTTACTACCCAACTAATGACATGGACCCATATTTGAAGGATAAGGATGTAAGTTCGGCTGCCTCTGTATTTCATGGTTTTGTTTCATCACTTCTAGTTTGTTGTGCTAGAGTTGCATTAATTTTACTCTCTTCTTTTTCTTACAATATTCTTTTTTGGTTTAATCAGGATGATGACTCGGAAGAGCTTGAGGACATGACCATAAAAGCTGAAGATGCTGTCATAGTTTGTGCCCGGAATGAGGATGATGTCAGTCATCTCGAGGTATGTAATAGAGAAATTATGCACCCCCCTCCCCCCCTCCCTCCTCGTCCTTATCCCTTTCTATCAAAAAAAAAAAAAAAACTCTGATATTAGCCAGCCACTTACGGTAAGCTCAATGTTTACAAGCAGGTTTGGATTTATGAGGATGCTGATGATGATTCAAATATGTATGTTCACCATGATATCATCATTCCAGCATTTCCCCTATGCACAGCATGGCTTGATTGCCCACTTAAAGGTGGAGAAAAAGGTGTGACTTAACCAGATTTTTTGTTTGAAAATTATTTCTGTGCAAGCACATTTACTTAGTTTCACCTTTCCTTACTTAAGGGCATGGCGAATATGAGACTAATGAAAGATGCATATTCCCTTTCTTTCAAGACAAGGCTCTACCTTTGGCCTTTTGTGTTTGTTTTATGCTTTTTGTTGCCTTTTCTGCCGAAAGTTTAGATGATTTTTAAATGTGATGTGGTTCTATCATCTACGATAAAAAAAAACATATTCTTATTTTTAGAGATAAAGAAGCTATTATTAATGTATTGCTGAATGGTGATTACAATTGGAACATAAACTAGATTACAATTGGAACATAAACTATGTATTTAAGACTCTGAAAGGCTAAGATATGGCATAGTTATTTTGATTTTGGAGGTTCAACTGGATCAAATGTTAATTTTCTATGACTTCATTATTATTCGGTCCATGGAAGGGGAGGTCGTCACTTAAGGAGACACCTTGCTCAGAAATTTGACCTCCAGCCCTAGAAGCTAAAGTGCACACGTGACAATAGTTGGCAATTGGCAGTAATTCTCACAGTGTTGGTGATATCCTGTTATCAACAAAACCTGCATTGCTGAAGAAATCACCTTTTGGAAATAGCCGCTTTAGATTTTTTTCCCTTTTTAGAGGTAGGGCTTTTCGCTAGAAATGAAGAACTAACTTGGCAAGCTATCATATCTTAGTTTATTATTAGCTTTCCTTCTCTCTCTCTCTCTCTCTCGGGTTAAAAATTGAAGTCACACCCTCTCTAATTGCTTAAGCTTTTAGAGTAGATGGTGGTTAACATTGTATCAGAGCCAAAAGTCTTGAGTTCAAACCTCACCGTTGCCCTGATATTAAAATTATAAGCACGTGTTGGACCAAAAGAAGGTCACACTTGAGGGGGTGTGTTAGAGGATATAAAAATTAAAGTTACTTTCTCTCTCTAAGACTCAACATCTTATACTTTTAGTGTAGATGGTAGTTAACACAATGGATTGCCACTAGTAGTATTTGATATTCATTCAAAACTCAAAAGTCATTATTATTTTCACCTATATCTGTTACCTTTTCCATTTATGTATCGTTGTCCTTGTTAAATGCCTTTTATATGTTGGCAGGGAACTTTATAGCTGTAGGCTCAATGGAACCAGGCATTGAAATTTGGGACCTTGACATTGTATGTGGTTTATGGACCTTGATTTTGGTAGACTGTAGCTTTATGAAGCTATTGATGGAGATGTTATTGCAAAGTCTCTTATTGTTTTGACCATTGTCAGATGGATGAAGTCCAGCCATCTGTGGTATTAGGTGGCGTTGCTGAGAAGAAGAAAAAAGGGAAGAAGGTCAGCTAGTGAATCTATTGTAACTTAAATATTGAGTTTTCTTAGGATCCCATATATTGCAACACTCTTAGTAAGGTTTTTTGTCTTTCTCAATCAAAGAAGCGTTTCTTGTAAAAAATTAGTCAATGATTTTGTGCGGAAATTTTGAATGTTTTCTGGCAGTTTTAAATGTGATATCCCATTGGCTTTCTTTCTTTTTCTTTAATTATTAGTTATGATATCTCTATTATGCTTACTATATTTGATTATATGGTATTAAGTGCTACTCCAACAAGTATTCAACATCCTCAATGTTCTTTCTTTATCATTTACTGAGTTCCGTTTGGCCATCCAAGAACAATTGTATCATATTGTTTCCTGTGCAATGAATCACATAGATTTTCAACAGAATACTCTTGAGTGAAACCCATTAATGGTGGATCTAATGTATATTGCATGTTTTTTATTCTTTTTTTTATTATTATTATTTTTAATTTTTATTAGTAACTCTCCCTGATTTTTGTCTAATAAAGTGATTTTTCAAAGAATGTTTGGTTGACTCTTTGTGAACTCACATTAATTTTACGATTTTATGTTGTTTTGATTATTACAAGAGCTTATCTTTTAACCTCTCTTAACAACTCCCATGTTTGCTTTGTGTCAGAAATCTATCAAATACAAAAAAGATAGTCATACTGATTCAGTGCTCGGTCTTGCTTGGAACAAGGAGTACAGGTTTGGATTCTTTATTTTATTATTTTAATTTATTTCCCCGGGGGGGGGGGGGGGGGGGGGGGGGGGTGTTGATTATTTTAGTGCAACATTTGTACCTTTTTTTTAATGTTATTTTGCTATAAAAAATTGTATACAGGAACATACTTGCTAGTGCTAGTGCTGACAGACTAGTCAAGATTTGGGACGTGTCAACCGGAATTTGTAATATCACCATGGAGCACCACTCAGACAAGGCAAGAAATCAGGCTTATTTCCATTGTCGTACTTAATCTTCTTGTTATAGCTGTGTCTTAGCAATTCTCATTTTTTTTTTGTGTTCCCTTTCCTTAGTATTTTTAGTGAGTGATTAGTACCGTTATACTCAACTGGGATAGAGTAGGTATCAGGTTTGGTTATTTAATATGTTCGAACCATCTCAATCTTATCACTTTTGCAATTTGGTTAAGGATTGCAAACTTAAATTGATTTTCTATTTTTTGTTGATCTTTCATTGAATACTAAATAAAAAATATTAATTTATGTTAAAAGGTAATGTAAAGATACTTGGATATATTTATAATTATCGAAGGATTGTTTGTAAGCACTAGATGGACTGAATCTAGTATCTAGTTCACAAGTTCAGACCTCAGTTTGACTCAGTTCTAGAATGGTATAGCAAGAAATTATTCTTTTGGGCATGTTTTTGACTTGGACAGAAATTGCATGTTTGGCTTTTGCTAATTTGATAGTTTTTAAGTACACATTTTTAGCTGTTGGTTTCACTAAAACAATATGATACCGAAGGATGTCTGTGCATTTGTTCTCATATGAGGACAGATGTTGGATTATCTTACTATCAGAGTTTCTTGCCCCACATCGGATTCGGATGGGAAAGGTTTTGGCTTCTAAGGGCTGGTAGGCAGTTCCACCTAACAGTTTAAGCTTTTGGGTCGGATGCCAAGTGTCCGCCCGTTACAAGTGGTATCACCCAGTGGTGTCTAGATCTGGGTGGTCCTCCCCCTGTTAAGGGGACAAGTAGGCTTTGCGAGGTCCTGGAGGGGCCCCCCCCGCGGGGGGGGGGTGGGGAGACGGATCTGGATGGGGAAGTTGATTTCGTTATTGAAACATGATGAAGGCAAATAGCTGTATAATTTTCTTAAGGGGTCAGTTTTCAAGTTTAGCCTCACAACCTCCTATGAAACATGCACACAGACATTATAACTTTTATCTATAATATATAAAGGTTACGTATGAAGATGAAGATATATGAATCTCTAGATAAATTTAAATAATAATAATTTATGTTATATATATTGTTATTTAACATTTATTTTTATAATTTTATGAAAGACAAGATGAAATCTGATAGTTATATTGCATGAATAAATTTTGAAATAAATGAGTCGTGATATATTTGTTACTAGATCCTTTTTTTTTTAATAAAAAAAGAAAAAAAAAATTAAACATTTTTAAACAATTATAATATGATATTATCATTTGAAAAGCTACATTTTAATATTTGAAGTTTATGTGTGAAGTATCTGAGAAGTAGCAAATACATGGTCGAAGTAGCTGAGAGTATCGGATGCTTGTTAGATATATAAAAAGAGATATTTTAAAATTATGGATATGTTTAGGAAGTATCGAATCCGTATTTGCAAGTATCTAAGGAGTGTCGGTATCCAATGCGGATGCGATATATGTACATCACTCTTTTAGAAGTATCCATGCTTCATAGCTTATAGCTTGCTCTAATGACAGTGGTGGACTCAGGATTTAGCTCTTTAAGAGAGGGGAGGGGGAATAACCGATCAGTAAGAATTTATATACTAATTCTTCAAAACTTTCCTCTTTTTTTTCCCTTTCCCCTTTTCCCAAATTAACTTGATCACAAAATAGTAAAATGAATTCCATGTACATAAATGACAAGTTAATGGAATGAAAAAATCATGGCCTGTCCATGATCAGCCAAAACCAATTGGAATAAACATAGTAGGTTCATAACTGGCTACCTCATTAATGTTCTGTCACAAATTGTGATGGCTTAGACTTCCAGTTAGCTGCTGCTATTCTACAACGGAGTGATCACCTGTGCCTTGTTAAATCATGATGAAGAAAAAGTCCTTTGAAGTCAATTCAACTGAACAAAACCTCATACAGACGCTATAACTAGTTCATCATTTACTTTATCTGTGGCTATAACGTCAATTAAACCACATGCTACCATTTTTTCCTTACCATGATGGCCTGCCTTAATTTTGGATTACTTTCTACTGTCACTACTCTCAAACCAAAAGCTGCAATTGGGTGTTATAGGTATTTGCTGCACATGTTCAAACCATGTTTTTTCCCACTTTATCTTCTGTGTATGCCTACTTCCTACGGCCTCTTATCTATTCATTTCTACTTTATCCTTTTTTGTCTTGTCTCACATTCTTTTCAACATCCAAATTTTTGGTTATGGTCATTTTATGAACACATTATTGTTTTGCCACCATATGATTCATCATAAAATAGGTCTCTTAAAAAGATAAGAATAACCATGATTTAGTCTTGTTGCTATTTGCATCAATTCAGTCTTAAACTAATATTTTGACAGTGAAAAGCTTATTAGAATCTTATAAGAGTTCAAGAGAAATTATATGGCTAGTGTTGAGGATTTTTCACATTTATGATTATACAAGGTCTTAGCCGTGAAAATTTTATTAGAATCTTGTAAGAGTTCATGACAATTAATATGGACTATGGCAAGTGTAGTGGATTTTTCACATTAATGATTATATAAGATCTTAACTATAAGATGGCTTCCTTCTTTCTTATGAAATATTTTTTGGGTATTGATGAAATTTTAAAAAGAAAATGTCAAGGGGTGCTATTTACTCCCTGATCTTCTCTTGGATCTTCAGCTTTGCCATTGCCTGATTTCTGTGTTGTAGTTTACACCATATCCAGCAACTAGTTTCCCTTGTTGTGTCAAATGCAGTTTGTGGGGAGGCTGGTGGGATTCAGCTAAATAAATGTACTCTTGATACTTCACACAGCCAGTCTCTCTCTCTCTTTATTTTTTAATTTTTTTTTCAATTCTGTTTGTAAGAAACCATGCCTTTTTTGGGTTTGTTTAAAAGGTGCTTAATGAGGTAATTTAACAACATGGCATTGTTAATTAAGCTAGTTTTGGCTGAAAGGCATGAATTCACACATATACGGCTGTTCCATATTACCAGTTATTGACTTTTGAGGATTTTAATGCTTATTTGTTTCATATTTTGTTTGCTGTAGCAAAATTCCACATGCTATAAACTGTATGTCATGTTCCTATGGATTCTTTTCAGGTTCAAGCAGTTGCGTGGAATCATCATGCGCCACAAGTTCTTCTTAGTGGATCTTTCGATCATTCAGTAGTCATGGTAATAGATATTGTCATTTGTTTTAATCATTCATTATGAATCATACGACTATTATTTTACAGCATTCATTTTTTGTTCCTTACCTTGCCATCAAGATATCCTAATTCAATCTGTATTTTTGAATTTCAGAAGGATGGAAGGATGCCTTCGCATGCTGGATTTAAGTGGTCAGTTGCAGCTGATGTTGAATGCTTGGCATGGGATCCACACACCGAGTATTCATTTGTGGTGTGTATTTCAACCTTTTATGTCTATTATTGCAGATTCTATAGTCATATTCAAGTTAATTATGTAAAAATCAGCAAACCAGAGCTGGAGTCGTCTTAAAACAGGGACACTTTGTAAGATTTTTTATTTTTATTTTTATTTTTTTGTCTTTTAGAAATAAATATGTTACTAAAAGGCACCAATAAAATATGTTAAACAGAATTTTTTGTTTTCCTAATTATGCTAAACAGAATATTCCAAATTATAAAAAAAAAAAAAATTCACAAGTGGGATTCACCATCCCTTACTCCCATGTAAAATAAAGATGGTCTTCAATTCATGAAGAAGTTGCTCAAGTTAAAGCAAACGAGCACTGATTCCTCTTCCCTCAAATGCACCACATCAAACAATGAAGGGCTGCAATCCATGCTTCCTTGTTCTAGAAGCTCTCTAACCTCTCCCAACTGAGAAGAGCTTCTTGTACTAATTCTGTTTAATCCCAAGACATCTCAATATACCTATAATAAATAGCAAATCTCCTTCATGATCAACCAAGTCTCCTGCCTCTTGCCATGCACAACACTAGCATAAAATAATTTTTACCTTAAAATATTTTTTTTCTTGAATGGTGTCAATATTATAAATAAGAAAAAGACAAAGAACAAAAAATCAGAGAGGCATACCCCTCAAACGAAACTCATGATAAAGAAAAGACCCACTTCCAGTAGGGACCAAAAAACAAAATCCTAAAGGAATTTAGCATGACACTAATTGAAAACCAGTAACAAATCTTCAAGGGAGCACTTCATGAAATGAAGCACCTCCCAAACAATTTTAGTAGCCAGCACTGCAGGAGCAATTTTACAGCCTTGATGTAGAGCAGAGTTCCTTTGAGACCATATCATCCACACAGTATTGGCATATATAGATCTCATAACCTTTGATCTCCAAGAGGCAATGCGAGACTGGTTTAGGAACCAACTAGACAATCTATCCATTGATTCAAACTCACCAGTCACAATATTTACCTTACCTAAAACCTCACACCATACGTCAGCAGCATAAGGGCAGGTACAAAACAGGTTGTCATTTTCATCTGTAGCAGCATAGCAGTTATTACAGATGGATGTCAAAGTGATGCCTCTTCTCTGTAAATGCACAAAGGACAAGTTTCTATTCTGTAAAATCAAAGAAACAGCCACAGATACTCTAGGTCTGCAAAATTTTCTGCAAAGCTTAGTCCACTCTAACAAGACAGCATGTTTCCTGCAAACATTCCAAGCAGATTTCAGACTAAACAGTGCATGCTTCCATAGGACAGCATCAGAAACAGCAGTAAGAGGCACTTCAGAATTGAAATCTCTAACTTCAGCAGTGAACTGGTTGTTAAAACACCATTGTCAATTATGAATGATGTCACTAAGAGGAGTTTGATGATCCAAATCTCTGAACCTAGTTGCACCATATCTCTGGGTGAAAGACAATCCATCACAGCAAGGATCAGACTTGAGTAGGAACTTATCACAACAACCAACCTTATAAAGACAGTGTGGCAAAATGATCTCTCTGACTTGAAGCAGTTGTTTCCATACAGTGGAATCAGCAGCCTTAGGAACTACAGACCAAAAGGAGCACTTGTTCAAGTAACTAGCTTTGAACCACTGAATCCGTAACTTTTCCTTCTGCTGTAGCAAATCCCAGCATAAAGTGAGCTTAGAAGCAAGGTCTAAATCCTGGAATTTTCTGATATTGAAATCCCCTTCTGTGAAAGGCAGAGTAACCTTTTTTGAAGATAATTGTGTCATTCTTTTTATATCTGTTTTGCCATGCCAAAGAAACTCCTTAAAACTCCTTTCCAGCTTGACTTGACATGCCCAAGGAATTTTAAACCCAAACAACCAATAGTAAAGAAAAGAATGTAACACTGACTTGATCAGTTCAATCCTCCCAGCTATGGACAAATTGAAAGAGTTCCAATGGAGAAGCTTCGAATTAAACTTGTCAAAAAGCTTATTGAAAACTTAGAATTTCAGTTTTTTGTCAGAAAGAGGCACACCCAGATACTGAACAGGGAATTCAGCAGCTCTGAGGTTCTTCTTCTCCTCCTAACGGATTTGGAGAATATAATTGAACTCTTCTCTCTATTGACCCGTAGACCACTACTGGATGCAAATACCTCAAAAGTCTCTGTAAGAGCTTTTGCAGAGGACACATTAGCCTTGACCACACTCATCAGATCATCAGCATAAAAAGTATGTGAAAGCTTCATACCAACTTTTGAAACAGCATTAATGCATTGACGTTGACAACTATCAATTTTCTCCAACATAAGTCCAGAAAAGAATTCAGTGACTAAAGAAAAGGGGACAGAGGACAGCGCCGTCTGAGCCCTCTCTGAGAGGAGAAATAACCTGTAGGAACCTCTTTAAATAAGATGGAAAATGAAGGAGTGGGAATCCATTTAGTGCCAAAGCCATAAGCCATTAACAAAGCTCTGAGAAACCTCCAATCCACTCTGTCGTAGGCCTTCTTCAAGTCAACTTTCAGTGCCATTGAAGGGTCACCACTCTTCTTGCCAAATCCTTTGATCAAATCAGAAATCAACAAAATATTGTCATGTATCTTTCTGTTCTTGACAAAACCTGATTGCTCTAATCCCACAAGGGAAGGAAGAACTGTACCCAATCTGTTAGCAAGAACTTTGGTAATGATCTTATATAGAAAATTGCAGAGAGATATAGGGGTGTACCCTTTAATTTCATCTCCTTGACCGTCCTTTGTAATTAGAGTGGGGAAGGTAGAATCAACTCCTTTAGGCAGATTTCCAGAGGTAAAGAAATGACAAACAGCAGCAATGACATCTACCCCAACCATAGTCCAATATTTTTGAAAAAACTGAGCTGGGAAACCATCTGGTCCAGGAGCCCTATCTGTTAGAAAATTTCTATCCACCTTTTCAATCTCTACTACAGTAATAGGACTATCCAACATAGCAGAATCTTCAACAGAATAGTCTTCCTAGGATTTATCATAACATCAGAAATGGCTTCAGCAGTATATAGCTGCTTATAATACTCTAGAATCTTCAGAAATAGAGCCATCCATATGTTGGAGCTCAGTGATAGTATTATATGATCTTCTCTGCTTAACTGTGTGATGATGAGAAAAGGAAGTACACCTATCACCTTCTGAAAGCCATCTAACTATAGATTTCTGAGCCCACAAGATCTCTTACAAGTCAATTAAGTTCTCCACCTGCAGAGTACTGTCTTTTTTCTTCTCAATAAGGTCCTGATCAATAGGATTTCTGAGTAGCTCTAATTGAATATGTTTCAACTCTTCTCTGGCTCCACACAATTGTTCAGAAAGCATACCCTTATTCGTATTCTATCTATTCATTTCAGACTTGACCTCTCTCAGCTTCTGCATCAACCTATGAGTAGGAGTACCATGAGTCTGTACTTTCCAAGCATTAGAAATAATATCGTCCACCTCCTTCTGGAAACACCAAATTTTAAGAAATTTAAAAGGCTTGGGTCCTGAGGAACATTTGTCATGCCATTTCACAGCCATCCCATACTGATCACAGAGAGACGGGGCTGTGAGATAGACTTTAGAATCAGTGGAAGTGTCAAGTCACTCCTTATTAGCTAGAGCTTTATCCAGTCTAGCGTCTAGCAATGATTCTTCTTTGCACTGCTTGTTTATTAGTCCATGACCAGTCTCCAAGATGCACAGCCAAATCATCCACCTTAAGACTCTCAAGGACAGAATTAAATTCATCTAGGATAACTTGAGGGACAGAAAAACCACTTTCTTCTCACCATGGAACCTGATGACATTCCAATCCCCTACAAGCAACCAAGGACCAGAAATTAAACCATAATGCACCTTTAAATTTGTCCAGAGATCCGTCCTTTTCTTTTACAGAGTTGGAACCATACACAGCAGTAACAAAAACCGACACACCAACTTCAATGAAACAAACCTTTATCAACATTGCTTGACTAGATTCATGAACAAGAGAGACATCCAAAATAGAACTATTCCATCCAATCCAAATTCTCCCCAACTTATGACTATTATAATTAGCCAACCACTTCCTATTTGAACAAATTTTCTTTTGAATACCAACAGGCCAGTGGCCTAGCGGTACCAAGTCCCTACTTCTCAAAGAGAGGTCAGGGGTTCAAGCCTCAGTGGAGGCATGTGAGTGTGAGTACCAACTAGGGAAAAAAAAAAAAAAAAATTCTTCTGAATTTTAACAGCTCTCTGAGCTTAAACTCTAGTCTCAACCAATACAAAGAGAGCATAGTTATTAAAAGCCCAAGGCACACCGAGGCGCTAGAGGCCCCTTGCAGCCTAGGGGCGAGGCGCACGGCGAGGCGCGAGCCTGAGTGATGTGAGGCGCACAAGTATAATTTTAAAACAATAATTCTTAACAAAAATAACACAACTAAACAATGAACATCCAATAATAAAAACACTAAATAGAATGGAGTCAATGGAGTGATGGACCAAGTTAAATTCAGCAAACAAACATTCAGCAAACAACATTCACACTTTCAGCAAACACCATTCAGAAAGATGCATTCAAAATTTAAATAATCTAGCATACAGCATGTAGCAAATTCAGTTAATTGCATTCAAAAGAAGAAAAAAACAGAACACAACAACACAAAAAAAAAAAGAAGAGACAGGCAGCCTTCAAAGAAGAAAGGAGAAAAAAAAATACAGGCCAGAGAGAAAAAATAAAAAAATACAGCAAGAAAAAAAAATACAACGAAGAAAAAAAATACAGGCTAGAGAGAAAAAAAAAAAAAAAAAATACAGTGAGAAAAAAAATACAACGAGAAAAAAAATACAAGCCAAAGAGAGAAATATATATATATATATAGACCCAGAAGAACAAAAACATAGATGGAAAATAAGATAGAAGAAAAAAAAAAAAAAGAGACCCATAAAAAGAAAGAGACCGAGAAAAACACAAAACCAGATATATAGAGAGGAGAAAGAAAAAAAGAGACCCAGAAGAATAGAAACAGAGACGGAGAAAAAGATAGAAGGAAAAAAAAAAAAAAAACAGAGACCCATAAGAACAAAAACAGAGACCGAGAAAAAGATAGAAGAAAAAAAATAAGAGACCCAGAAAAAGAAAGAAGAAAACCAGAGATATAGAGGTGAAGAAGAAAAAAAGAGACCAAAAAAAAAAAAAGCGAGATATAGAGATTAGAGAATAAGCAAATGAAGAGAGAGAGAGAGAGAGAGAGAGAGAGAAAAGAGGAGAAGAGAAGAGGAGGAGGAAAAAAATTACTAAACTGACCTGGTAGGTTGATTCGGTGATTCCGGCTTCATCTTCGTCGGATGGAAGCAACTGATAGCCCTCTCTTCTCTTCTCTTCTTTCTTTCTTTCTTTCTCTTTCTTCTGTTTCCCACTCCCTCACGTCTTTATTTCTGCTGCAGCTTTTGCTATAGATTGATTTGTTTTGTTGACTATTGTGATACATTGGGTTGCCTCACAAGTCACAAGAGGACAAATTTCCATTTTGTACTTAAAGTTTTTGTTTTGTACTTTCAGTTTTCAAAAGCTGTAACTATATATATATATATATAATAATATAAAGTAAAAAAGCAAACACATGGTACACGTAATACATAAAAGGAAACAACCAAACAAATTATAAAAGGACCACAGAATATATGAAGCGCGCCTAAGCGCGCCTCTTAAACCATCCAAGGCGCAGCCCAGGCGCGCGCCTAGTGAAGGTCGCTGCGCCTGGGCTAGCATGAGGCGCAAAAGCCGCGCCTGTAGGCGCCTTGCGCTTGGGCGCGTGCCCAGGCGCGCTTTTAATAACACTGAGAGAGAGCAAATTTATTTTGAAGGAGGCAATGCTTGACCTCCTTCTGCATACAAGGTCTATTAAGACCTCTCACATTCCATATTCATAGCATTAAGACAGATTGGGAGGAGGTGGAATGCCACCACCTGAGACTTTACCTCTGGTAACTCTATCAGAGATAGGAGGAAGTTGCTTTTTCCGCTGTTGCTTTTTCTTCTCCTCTCCTTTATTTTCCATATCAGAACTCACTGCATTCTCAATGCCTCCAAGAGCCTCGTTCTGAGACGCATCTGCAACATGGTTATTACATTACTTATTTCAACTGAAAACACCGGCAAAACAGAATCATCCTGTAGCCCCAAAATATCATTCTTCTGAGCCTTGACTGAGTCTACACCATGCTCACCTTTTTGTGAGGAATTGTCCTCCAAAGTATGACTGTCAACCTCTACAATCTCAGTGCTAATTCTGTCCCAATAGTGTCTTCATAACTCAGATTACCAATGGCCTCAAATTAGTTAGAAGTCCCAATGCCATTATCAATTTCAGCGTCTACCCCTTTAAGCACTATTATATATATATAGGGCTGCAACTTGGGCGGGTTAACCCAGCCCAACCCGAAATTTTAAAATTTGGGCTTTAGATTCACAAATCGGGTTCATGTTCGGGTTAGGTTTTTTCTCCTTTCTCTCTCCTCTCTCTTCTTTCTCTCTCTCTCTTCTTTCTCTTTCTCTCTCTGTCATCCCCTCTGTTGCCGCCGCAGCCCCACTTACAGACCATGATTAATTGATTTGTAAAACAAGAATTAGAGTCCACAAATTCCAGTCCTCTACGATTTTCACTTGGTGGATTGAGTAGAGTTGGTTGTTGGTCGACCTAGGCACCGAGACGACCATCTCTGTGCTCAAAACCACAATATACAGTATTGTTGTGGGAATGGATGAAAGAAAATAGGAGGTTCCATTGGATTTCGAAAGGGCTGGGGTTGGGTGGGGTTTGAGAAGAGATGTGATGTGCGGCTGTGGTTGGGTGGAAGTTGAAAAGAGATGTGATGTACGGTTTAGGGTTTGGGCAGAGAAAGAGAAGAGGGAAAAGTCTGATAAAATGGAGGGAGTTGATAAGACAGTACGGTTGGGGTTGGGGTTGGGGTTGGGTGGAGTTGAGAAGAAATGTGATGGGTGTGTGACAGAGTTTACAGTACGGTTTAGGGTTTGGGCTTGCACAAAAACTGAAAGATCTGGGTTTTGATTTTTTGAAGAATCTGAAATGATATGCCGATCTTGGTTTTGATTTTTTGAACAATTTGAAATGATATGCCGATATGGGTTTTGAACTTTTGATTCTTGTAGACAGATAGATAAAACTGAAATATATGGGTTTTGAACTTCTGATTCTTGTAGATTTTGTAGTTTGCAGCTGGAGAGAGAGAGGGGGGGAGGGTAAGTTCAGAGAGAATAGAGATGGAGGCGATAGGGGAGGTTGAAATGATTTGCCCTAAAAATATTTTGTTTTTTTATAATAATATAATCAAATGTATATAATACATATAAAATAATATATTATATATATAAATTTCTGAAAAAAAAAAAAAAAACTCAACCCATCAACCCAACTCAACCCGCCCGAAAATATTCGGTTCGGGTTATGACCATAACCCATGTTGAGTATAATTCGGGTTGGGACTGGGCTGGGTTGGGCCAGCCCAAGTTGCAGCCCTATATATATATATATATTTTTTTTTTTTTCTAATTGGTACTCACACACACGTCTCCACCGAGGTTCGAACCCCTTACCTCCCTTTGGAAAGTAGGAGCCTGGTACCGCTTGGCCACTGGCCTGTTGGTTAAGCACTATTATATTATCTTGAACTTGTTCAAGATTCAAGATAATATTATCTTGAACTTGTTATTTATCAAAAAAATATTATCTTGAACTTGTTGAGAATGGTCTTCCTCTACATACTTGCCTTTTATTTTGACCACCCATTTTCCTACTTCTTTAGCCTTCTGTTTCTGCCTCCGCTCCCCCAGAATTCTTTGCGTACATTTCTCAGACACATGGTCTACTTTATTACACAGGTTGCAAACAATGGGTTTCCATTCATATTCAATGTCAACAATACAGTCCTCTCCATGAACGCACATAGTAATGGCATCACGAAGGCTCTCTTTTATATTCACTTGCACCATTACACACACAAACTGACTTTTGTTTGCAGCCACATCATCTAGGAAAACTAGTTGAGAAAAATTAGAACATACCTTTGACACCACAGTTTTATTCCTACAATGAAGAGTCAAACCGTGTATTTTGATCCAAATTGGCACCGAGTCAAGTAAATCCTTTTTCAAGTTCACATTCCAATCCCATTTTTTCAAAATGACTGGTGAAAAAGCTACACCATGACTGACGTGGAGGCGAAGCCTGCCAGGGAGATGAAATCGCTCCGAAGCTGTGTAGAGGAGGGTAATCCCTCCTCCATGAGAAGCGCCGTCTTCTCCTCTTTACCACTCAAAACCCTTACCTTTTGAATTATTTATCATGATCTTCCTATGTGCCGACGACCACATAAAAACTCCAACCCTAGAAAAGGCCCAAGAGAATCACATACCTTTCCAAGTTTAACAATAATCCATAGCTCCTTCCATAGCCTTATAAAAAGGCTTAGTCTTAACCTCCTTGATCTCGGAACTGCTGATCTCACCTAATATTCCTCCTCCCAGCTATCCACTTCGTTCAACAATTATATCAACTCAAACACTTCCTCTTCCTCTTAATTTTGCAATGATCTTGAAAGTCTAAAATCCCATGACATTTCCATCCCCAGTATCCTTGCTATAGTTCAAAACCAATCCTTGTGTACTATAATTCCATAAAAGACCAGATAAAAATCTTTCAAGGCAATTTTCCAACACCATTTGCCAAAAGAAATACGTACCTGACCTTTTATGTTCATCCCTCCTTTATATGATGCACTTCTTGAAGTAACTACATAGGGTATAATTACCTGGGTGCCTTTATCCAGAAAATATTCATTGTAACTACACTTATCGTCCTCTCATATTTTTTAATCATCATTCTTTTCTACAAATTATAATGCTTAGATGCAATTTCCACAACCTCTACCCTGGCAATGCTTGTTCAATCCATCAAGTGATATATACTTGAATTCCTCTCCTAAGCTATGCCAGATAAAGTTTCTTATCAAGGATGGTGAACATATGTTCTATGTTTCTAAATTATTTTTTTATTTAGTCTTTGTTTGGGTAATCCTTACACAACTGAATAATAATTATTTAATTGTGTTTTCAGGTCAGTCTCGAAAATGGTACAGTTAGTGGTTTTGATATCCGGGCTGCTAAGTCTGATCCATTATCTGAGTTGAAGCCAAGTTTCACTCTGCATGCACATGACAAAGCAGTTTGCACGGTCTCTTATAACACGTTGGCACCAAATGTACATCTCTCTCCTTTATCTGGCTAGCCACGTTTATGATTAACTATATACTTGCTGCTATATTAACTTTACCCCTATGATATTCTGTAGCTTCTTGCAACTGGATCCTCTGATAAAACGGTAATGGTCCTTTCCATTTCCCTTTCTTCACCTCAGTGTATGCCCTGCGGATTCTGAATGTGTTTGTATGATCTCTGTTACCTACTCTTCATTTGCTGCAGGTGAAACTCTGGGATTTGTCCAACAACCAGCCTTCATGTATTGCATCTAGGAATCCTAAAGTTGTACGTGATTCTTCCAATTTTCTTTTGGCAAAATATATTGGATTACTGGGAAATGATGGTTTTTGAAGTCACATTGATTGAGTGCCATTATATTTATATGGGCTAATATGATGTGGATTTCAAACTTTGTTTCAAATGTTATCAGGGAGCTGTGTTTTCCATTTCTTTCGCAGAAGATGGCCCTTTTTTGCTGGCTATAGGAGGTTCGAAAGGAAAATTGGATGTGAGTTGAAAATTAACCAACACTTTTCCCTGCAGCAATTTTATTTCTGATCCGCGAGTTTGATGTAGTTGAGGGTGACAATTATTTTTGCTAAATTATATGGCAGGTGTGGGATACATTATCAGATGCTGGGGTTTCCCGAAGATATGGGAAGTATCGCAATAAGAAGAGAACCTAACCAGAATCTTAATGTAAATTAAAAAATGACAGATTTTATCAGTTTTGGATTTCGGTTTTGGATTTCGACATGGAAAGAGTAGGAATTTGCGAGAGCAATTGCGTTTCTTTTACTTGCTTCTGGAGGCTGGAGTAATATAGGGTTTTTGTTGCATACACACTATTGAGGAAAATGGAATATATAGATGGAAAAGGATTGGTCTCAAAGGACTTGTATGAGTTCTAATTTTGTTCAGTGCCCTCAATTCTGATTATAATGTTACTTATCTTTTTTTTTAGTTGGTATGCCTTGAGAATATGCAGTACAGTATTTGCATTGCATAGGTGATATGCCCAGTTGATGATGCCACTCCCCTTTTTAAACCCTTTTTGTTGTCTGTGAGAGCTCCTTTTTTTCTTTCTTTGTTTTTATTTTTTTATTTTTGGTTGAGCTTTCATGCAACTATTTATCCTTTTTGATAATAAAATTGAACTTGCTTATTTAAAAAATGATTTTTATAATAAGAAAAAAAAAAAGAGAATACAATGTCACTCACTATCGTCTGTTGTATGAGACAAAGGCAAGGGCCTCCATGAGTTACTTTCTGACCCTGTGTGCTCAATTATTAAACTAAGTTATTATTATTATCATTATTTTCCTATGATAAAAAGATTATGTTCAACTTTGTTTTACATGCAAACCAAATAGCTAAATTAGCGATGAAGTGAGTGGGTTAATTCTGGGACATCTTATTGAGATGTGTTCTATACACATAGTAAATCGGACTTTTCGTTTTTAGGGAAGGGAAGTGGATTGTGCGAATTTCACATCCATGGATACGGGTACATACAATACGAACTCAAGTGAAACATCAAATCTAAAAAAAAATAGGATCCAAATAAGGCATGGATAAGTCAAAAAATAATAATATCTATTTTGTCATTCTATCCATATAATCATAAATAAATTAATAATTTGGAGTTTAGGGATAGATGTTTGTTATTTTTATTTTTTAAAATTTTATGTTATTTTTTTAATTAATCCATAATATTTTAAAATTGCATTGAATTTTATTTCTTTTAAAAAAATAATTACAAAATCATCTTATCGTATCTTGAAAGTGTCCAAAACATATTCTTGTCGTGTCCAAGTCGTAGGCTCGTATCCGACCAAAAAAAAAACAAAAAATCACTATTTAGGATACTTTTAGCCGTATCAGCATATCCAGAAAGTGTCCAGAGTATCCAATACCGTCATGACACCTTTAGAGAAATATCTGTATTTCCTAGACCACATCTAAAGTACTTTCTCATAAAAGTGATTATGTTAGAGCAACCCCAGCGCATCACCAAAGTGTACAATATGTGAGCCTGTGTGGAATGAGAAGCTCTACTATGCGGATTACACACTAGTGGAGCCCATCTCATATTATACACTCCATTCTTCACATATAAAGAATGAAGCAGCGCCTGGAAAGTGAGTCGAAGCGGCAGCGCAGTGGGCCATTGTGTGTGAAAGAATGATATAAAATAAAAAAATGATATTATGTAATGGTGTGTAAAATAATTATTGTATATGTGTTGGGTTAATTAATTAATGTAAAGATAGTTAAATTTTTATTAATTAAAAAAAATTATTTTTCCTAAATAAATAAAAAGAGTCATTTAATTTGCATAATAATTTAATTAATTATATATATATTTTAAAAGTTTGTACACTTTGACTAATCAATTTTATTTATTTATTTATTACATAACAATTTAATTAATTTGCATAATAATATAACAAATTAAATTTTATTCGAATAATAAATTTAAACATCTTCATCACGTACTGATTTAATTAATTCGCATAATAATATAAAAATTACATTTTATTCGATTATACCAAATTTAAACATCTTCATTACCAAATTGATTCCACAAATGGTCCATCAGATTATCCGCTCTATTACGAATTCTTCTAAAACGAGCGGAAATGTGTGTCGGCAACATTGTTGAGTTTCGAATGTATTGTGGGAGGGATATTGACTCATTCGGCGGAGGTGTCCATTGCAAAATTGTGTCCACGCTCATCTTCAATGATCATATTATGCAATATGATGCACGTTCTCATTATCTTGTTTAAATCTTCTTTATCCTAATAATACACAAGTCCTTGCATTATAGCCCACCTGATCTGTAACACGCCAAACGCTCGTTCAACATCTTTCCTAACAGCTTCTTGTTTTTTAGCAAACAATTTCTCTTTGACAGTTGTTGGGTGTGGGATGGTCTAAATCAAAGTTGCCCACTTGGGATAAATACCATCAGATAGGTAATACCCCATTGTACGTCGATGCCCATTTACCTCGTAATTAATCAGATGCATTGTGCCATTGATCAGACTATTGAATACTAGGGAATGATCCAAGACATTCACATCATTGTTTGAACCAGCCATACCAAAGAAAGCATGCCAGATCCACAGATCTTTCGATGCAACCGCCTGCAATATGAGGGTAGGCTTATGATTTCTTTCCGTGTGTGCCATGCCACCCTATAGGGCAGTTCTTCCATACCCAATGCATACAATCTATAGAGCCAAGCATACCTGGGAAGCCTCTTTCTTTCCCTTCTCGAAGCAGACGTGCAATGTCCTCTTCGTTCGGTGTGCGTTGGCATTGCCCTGCATACACCGCAATTAAAGCATCACAAAAGCGCTTCAAGCTTTCAACCGCAGTGGTTTCAGAAATCTTTATGTACTCATCACAAAGATCTGCTGAAATTCCATATACAAGTATACGTATTGCAGCTGTCATCTTCTGTATAGGAGTGAAACCCATACGACTGAAGGCATCAGGCTTCTGGATGAACCATTCGTCATATGCTGTAACACCGTTTAAAATGCGAATAAACAACTCTCGGCGCATCCGAAATCGTCTACGAAACATCTCGGGTGAAAAAGTGGGATTTTCAGTAAAATAATCTTGGAATAGCCGCTGGGCTGCTTCCTCTCGATCACGTTTAATATATCTTCTCTTACGACGTCGAAAGAATGTCTTTATCTTCTCAGGCGATAACAGTTGCATCACTACATTCATCTTTTTTTGACGTTCTTCAAAAAAATCTTCCCTGTCAGAAGATGAAAAAGAACTCAATGGAGAAATTGACCCGAACACTGGAATAGATTGTGATGATGAAGCCATTTTTTTTTTTTCTATAATAAAGATAAAGACTCAAAGAAGAGAAAATGAATTCGAAGATGTAAAGAAGTGGACTTGGTAATTGAAAAAATGAGAGAATGAGAGGTTTATATAGCTATTGAGAATATAGTTGTTGAAGAAAAAACAAATAGAATATATTCGTTAGCAAAAAGACAAACATAATATAGCTGTTAGAATAAGACAAACATAATATAACCGTTGGGAATATAGCCATTAGGAAAAAGACAAAATGAAATTATGGCGCGTTATGCTAAAAGGGGCAATTAATTGTAATGTTTACTATTATTATTTTTTTTTCCTGAGTTGTATTGTTTTATTTTATTTGTAGGAAGTTATGTAATGCACTTTATATATATATATATATATATATATATATATATATATATATATGTAATATTATTGTTTTTTAATATATATATATTTTTCAAATCTTGTATCTAAATCGGAGCAAACAATTATATAGTTGTTGAGAATAAAATTGTTGGGAAATAAAAAACAATAAAAAAATTTATTTTATTATTTTAAAAATAATAATATAATAAAGTGTACAATGAAATAATAAGTGCATAACAAGAACTTGGAGCCTTCAAAATAAGTGTACAATCAATTGCTGACGTGGTTGTACACTTTACATAAAGTTGATGATGTGGCTATACACTTTATATAAAGTGTGGAATGGAAAACAACCCCTGCGCTAGGGTTGCTCTTAGCAGTAGAACTTTCACTCTTTAAAAGATTAATATTAAAGCCCCATTGAAATGGTAACATTCATCCAATTTTACAATATCACCTAAACTATGTAATAATATACTCTAATCACATTTTACTTTGGTTTTCCAATAAACTCCATTAAACGCTAAAATTTAGAAGATTGATCTTTACCGAAAAATAAAATTTAGAAAATTGATGAAAGATTAATTCTTTCTTTTAATAAGGTAAATAGTGGAACACCCTATAAATGTCCACTATAGGATTGAGTGAGTAGAACCCTTATTTTTCCTTTGGAACAGAGAAGTTATAACATCTTGGCTGGTAGTTCAGAAAGTAAAATATTTTCTTCGGAAAAGACTTTTCTTTTTCAGGTAAAATATATATATATATATATATATATATATATATATATATATATATTATATTTGGCAAACGCGTGTGTCGAGATTGAGGTCAAGTCTATCAGGCAGGGTGATGAGCGCTGAAAAGTGCGTATTTTAACCCCTTAAGTTTAGGCATTCTAGTACCTTTATCTATCTTACTTTACCGTTTTAGATTGATTTCGTATTATTTCCATTTTCAGGCACTTATCCCGAAAATAAGCTAACTCAGCCAAATAAGAGCTTAATTGAAGCAATTCTGGGATGAATCAAAGAAATGAGCCAAGTGGAAGCAAAAGGAAGAAAAATGTGGAAATCAATATCTTCGATCGATCTCAGATCAAAGTTCGATCGATCCAACATGATCGATCTCAGCACTTCAAGATGGATCAGAGCCATGATGACATTTTCAGAGATCTCAAAAGTTCGATCGATCCAACACTATTCTTCGATCGATCGAATTGCTTTGTCCTTATCCAAATGATTGATCTTATCTAGTTGTACTACCATACCAACCACTTTTGTCCTTTTCCCAAAAATATCTTCAAAATATCTCAGATTTGTCTTTATCCAAAAAGCGCTACCATTGAAGATCAATCCAGCCTAAGTTCAATAGATCTCAGCTAAGTTCGATCGATCCAAGTCCAAAGTTTGATCGATCGAACTTCCTCTAGTGCGAAAAAGTTAAAAAGCCAGCTCATTCCAGTTGTCTTGTATCCAATCATTGGAGAATATTCTTTGCATGACCCCAGCTCATTTTGTGTGTTATTTGACCTACTTATATAAGGAATATGAGGCACTTTTTGAGGGAGCTTTTTAGAGAATTAGAGATACAACCTTAGAGGCAATTCTTAAGGTAGAAGAAAAGAAGGAGGAGGCTAGAGACACAAAGGGGGGAATTCTTCATCAACAAGGAGCAGATTTCTTCTATGGAGTTAGCCCTTAAGGGTTGGAGCAACATCACCATGAGTGGCTAGACATCCTTTTGGGGCTAGAGTTACCCCCAAACATGCTTTCTACATCTTAATCTTGTGTATTATTGAGGGATTAGTGTTGTAATTAATGTTTTGACACTTTGATATATATAGATCTTGATTGTTTAATGATTTATGTGGTTAATGCTTTCAATTGATCATTTCATTCTATCCATATGTCTATGTATGTTAGAATAGATGTTCATATGCTTGTCTCTAGATTTTGTGTTATTGATGCATATCTATGTGTATTGATGCTATAGATTTAAGATTGTCAAAACATAGTGCTTAATGGAATACTCTTGTGATTTTCTTGATGGTTCATACTTATTCCTTGATGGATTATGCCTCTCCCTTAGTTTATTTTCATGCTAGTAGTGTAGATGTAGTGTAGTTGTAGTGTAGTGTTAAATGGGAGGACAATCCATGCTTGTTGTTTGATGATCCATGCTTTTGAATGCAAGTAGCATATGTCTCTAACCTTGTGTTGTATTTGGATTGTGAGCTTAATGGAATGATTAATGACTTATTTTGATCTATTGTGCCTTTCACATGTTGTTTAGACAATATATACTTCATTGCTTAGATATATTGTGCCTTTCACATGATGTTTAGACAATACATGCTTAACTAGTCATCCTTACTTGTTGAATCAACCAAACATACACACACATCAATATTGTAACACACCATTTGCCCTCATTAGTCACTTGTCAATGGTATAGAAATGCATTGCTTGGTGGTGATCTCTAAACCCCAAGACTCTTCTCTCTCTTATTTGCTCTTAATCGCATTCTTTTGTTATCACTTAGTTTAATTTAGTTGCTCTCTAGTCTAATCAACCAACTAACCAATTGTTTGATCACTCGACCTACTAGCCCTAATAGCGATTCCACAACCTTGTTCGACCCTCACAATCCCTTGGGACGATCCCTACTCGCCCTAACTATATTTTTAGTGAAGGTAGTAGAGGCTTTTATAAATGTAAAACTTGGCCCTCACCTTAATGCACACTCTTAAGTTTATGGTAGGACGACGACCATAGTTTTTGGGGCCGTTGTCAGGGATTGATTTGATTAGGCCACATCGTATTTGTGGAATCAATTAGGAATTAGTACTCTTTTGATCGTGTCTTTACTTTGTTTTTATTTTTCTTTTTTGTAACTTATTGTGTTTGTTCATCTTTGACAAGAAGCATTGAGCTAGGAGGCAAGCAAAGGAGCCATCAAGCAAAGGAGCTAAGCAAGCAAGGAAAAGTGCTAAAAATTTAAAAAAATTGCTAAGCTAAGCTTTAAATTTGGAGTTGAAGTGCTAAAGGACATTTGTGAGACTTTCTTTACTCAATCCCTTAGTTAAATCGTCGGCCGCGTGGAGGCTTGCTTTTAATTTCTTAGACAAATCGTGAGCTCGCGTGGAGGCATTCTTATTTGTTCTTTGCATCATTGTTGTTAAAGCATGGGAGTATGAATTAAGTGTTTATGGAAGAAGTTTAATTGCATTGTTGTGAAGTCGAAGTGCTTGTTCATGCATTATGTTTGTGTGTTTTTACATTGTGCATGCATGGTTGTTGTTCATTGAGACCCACTCTTGTCCCTTTAGATTTGCATCTTGAATCCATCGTTAGAAATCCTAGGGGAAGAGGAAGTTCAAATAGAACCAATCTATCAATGGATGACCATAATGATGATCATGTTGAGGACCTTGGTCACATAGACCAACAAGGTATTCTTTATCCTAATGTGCACAATGAGAACATACAAGTACCATTAGGCATGCCTAGGCCATACATTTACTAACCACCACAACAACAAGGCCAAGTTCCATATGGAATGCCAAGGCCAATGTATGCACCACAACCTCCCATCATCAATCAAGGAATTCAAAACCAAGGTGTTCATGTTGCACCTCAAGTAGCTAATCCACCTCTTGCTTTAAGAGACCATTATGAAATTAATGAGTATAATGCACCTACATACATCCAATTGCCTCCATTTAGAGCACATCATTATGAAATTAAGCCACAAACCATTCAAATGCTTCCTAACTATCATGGACTTCCAAGTGAAGAACCTTACAAGCATTTTGATGAGTTTCTTGAAGTATGTTCCACCGTAAAATATACGGACATGCCGGAAGAAGTCTTAAGGCTTAAACTTTTTCCATTTACCTTAAAAGACAAGGCAAAGTATTGGTTTAACAATCTTAGGCCTTTTTCAATCACTTCTTGGGCAGAAATGCAACAAGAGTTCTTTAAGAAGTACTATCCGGTTTCTAAGACCAATTCCATGAGAACTTCCATTTGAGAATTCACACATGGGGATGGAGAAACGTTTCATGAGGCATGGGAACGCTTCAATGAGTTGCTTAGGAAATGTCCACATCATGACATGCCCAAATGGCAACTAGTTCAATATTTCTTTGAGAGCTTATCGGACAATTATAAAGGTATGGTTGATGCTTCCATGGGTGGCTCATACATTGATAGGCATGAAGATGAAGTGTGGTGTCTTTATAAGAGCATGAGTGAAAATTCTTTGCATAGAACATTATCATCCAAGAATGGTAGAAATTCACAAGGTAGGAAGAGTGTTGGCTTACATCAAGTCGACCATTCAAATGAAATAACCGCCGAAATGAAGTCTTTATCTCAAAGGTTTGATTAATTTTTTATTAACCAAAACTCAGCGAACCAAGTATCTTCTTTCCCTAACCATTCTCATCGTGCATCAAATGAATCATGTATGACTTGCTCTAGTGTTCTTCATTCTACTTCTCATTGTCCTCACGGACAAGTGCAAAATGAACCTAATGAACAAGTCAATGCAGCTTTTGTGAACCAAGAGAACAATCCTTATGGTACTCATTATAATCCAAGTTGGAGAAATCATCCGAACTTCTCTTGGAAAAACCAAGGAGA